CACGCACACACACACACACACACGCACAACCCCTCAACATCCTAGAACTCCTCCAGGCCCATAAGCTTCTGCACCTTGAGGCCCCCTACATAACACACATACAACCCCTCCCACATCCACACACACACACACACACACACGCGCGCGCACACACCAGCAAGAAAAAGGCACCCCCACCTCGTACACCTCCTCCAGTCCCATCAGCTTCTCAGCCTTCAGTCCAGTGTCCTCAGACCAATGGCTGGACTGGCTGCAGTAGTTGCAGTTCTCGGGGCAGCCGCCGGTCTTGATGCTGAGCAGGGTGCAGCGCTGGACCTGGGGGGTTGGAGGGGGGGGGCGGGAGGCGGTGGAGGGGTCACTGGGGGTTGTGAGTGTGTGTTGAGGGGGTTTGTGAGGGTGTGTTGAGGGGGTTTGTGAGAGGGTAGAAGGCTGCGAGGTTGAGGGGCTGTGTTGGCAATTCGAGGTTTCATTGTGGTTGCTTTGGGAGGGCTGGTCCCTGCGCAGCTGCACGGCAGCTGCCCCTGGAGGCTCGGGCCGCAGGGAAAGGGCGCGCCCCCCTCGCAGGGGCCGTGGGCGGGGCGACGGCTGGCGCACGGGGGCTGGGGCAGAGGCGAACTGCAGGGCTTGGCTTAATGAGGACGGGCGCGCCCCTGATCGCCACTCCTGCAGGGCCGGGTGCGCAGGCGGCCGGCCGCCAGGACCGCTGTGCTTCCGGGCGTGCACTGCCTTTGCGGGGCGCTTTGGGGACGGGGCGGTATTCGCATCGTGCCCGCTGCGTACCATTGCCGGATCGTTGTACATCCGGTGGACGGTCGCGGCCTTGAACACCAGGTCCAGCAGCGGCGTGTTGTACACCTCGCTCACCTCTTCGCGCCTGCGGTTGGCATGCAAACGGCCCGGCGGGCGGCACGCCGCAGGTGTTTGGGCGGCGAGCGGCTGTTTCGGTTTGCGCCATGACAGCCAATGGGCGGTCCTGCGGCATGTTCTTGCCATTGCATGTTGCAGGAAATTGCCACTCACGTCCAGTCAGTGCGTATAGCGCCCAGCTCCCGGGTCCAGCGGGGCACCCCGTCGTGCTGGTGCTCTGCCTCCGAGGGCTGGGGCTGGGGCTGAGCCTGGGCAGCCACGCTGGAGCCCGTGACCGATCGACTGAGTCTCAAGAGGGCGGGAAGACCTCCTGAAGCCCCGCTGGCCGCCGTGTGCAGCAGCCTAAGTGCCATTTTTGGCAGGTGCTGCTATATACTGCACGTCCTGCGGCTGTAATGGACGAGGTGTAGTGTTTACAAGGGACTCCAATAAGCCAATGCAGGACGAACACTACTAGGTGACGAGGCGGGGCACCCGGTGCTTTTGCAAACCCCGTGATCGAAGTGTAGACAGGCTTCGACGGCTAATACCAGCACACGCCTGATACATTGGATTTTATCAATCAGCAAGCGCTCGGTGCAGCTGTAACGCTCATCGTAGAGATCTAGGCAGATCGGCAACAAATTGACAGCCTCACATGTCCATCTGATAATTCTTCGGATTCACTTCCCGTCAATACTCGTCTATCTATCGGGAGGGCCGCCTCTTTCGCCAAAGTTGACGGCTGAGTCGTGCTGTGCGCTCCACAGGGACCTTCCATTCAGCACCCACTACTTGTATAGAGCGATTAATCCAGCAAAAGCATCCGTTCAGAGACCAGCAGGCGGTTTGACACCGGCGCGAAGCGTGTGTGTGGAAAGCGCATCGCCACACGGCAAGCTTCAGCGGCGGCGATGGCCGCCGCGGCGCTGCAGGCGCTGCTGCGGATGCCGCTCTGGGGCGGCGGCTTCCTGCCCGCCTTTGTGCAGCTCGTCACCTTCTACTACCTGCTGGGCCTCGTGCTGCACTGCGTGGTGCCGCGGCTGTTTGTGGTGCAAGGCATCCAAAAGGAGCCGCGAGGGGAGGGCGAACCGTTGAGAGACGCAATCGCGAGCATTGGTGAGACTCACGGTTTGCAGCCCAATCATGAGTCTTACGATTGGCTCATCCCAGCGCACCCTCGGCTCATCCCAGCGCAGCTCGCGGGAGGGGACATTGCTGGCCTGCGGCCGGCGCGGGCATGACTAAGCTGCTCGTCGTGCTGTGCGGTGCTGGCCGTCGGCTCGCCGCCGGCGTTTGACCGGTCAAACCTACCTCGCACGTCTCCTGCCGACGCCCCACCCCTTCCCAGGTCCCTTGGCCGTGAAGGCCTTTTATTGGGCCATCGTCGATCACATGTACGCGTCGGGCATTGGGCAGCTGTACAGCGGCCCCGTCACCGGCGCCCGTCACTGGGGTTACATCGCGCTGTGCATTTGCGTCATGGACTATTTGCATGACTCGTGGTTTTACTGGACGCACCGGCTGCTGCACTGGCGGCCGCTGTACCGATGGGTGCACTGGGAGCACCACAGGTGGGAGGGCGCCGCGCCAAGTCAGCATGTGGGGCGCCGCCCGCCGCCGATGCGGGCCAGCGCGTGCGGGGCTTGAAACTTGTGTCATTCGCTGCCCCTGCTGCACCCCAGTCGCACATCCGCTCCTTGTCCTTGCTTGCGCCAGGCCCACTGCGCCTTGAACCCCCTATCCACCCGTGCACGCGCGTACATGCTCTTGCTGCACGCATGCACAAACTCTTGCATGCTTGCACTCACACACGTGCACCCGCACACAATTCAGGGTGCGCACGCCCTCCACCCACCAACGCTCTCCACACGCACGATATGGGCCTGCATCAGCATCACAACAACACACGTGCAACTCCTACTCACAGCGACAAGACACACCCGCCTGTGCTTACGCCGACCACCGCCCGCCCGCCTGCCGGCTGCACCCCCTCCCCTTCCCCCAGATCTCGCGCTCCCAGCGCGTTCACCGGCTATGCCTTCCACGTGGCCGAGGCGCTGCTGGTCTTCGCCAACGAGCTGCTGCTGCCCCTGATGTTCCCCATCCACATGGGGCTGCACCGCATATACCACCTGCTGACAACCCTCATCCACGAAGGTGGGGTTTGTCGCAGGGTTGAGCGCTTGCCCAGAACCCTGAGCCCTGATTCTGCAGCCCCCATCAGGGCGACTCTGCTGCATCTGAGTCCTGCACCCAAATCTTCGCACAACCTGCCGATCGGCGGCTTCGCTAGCTACATCTGCGTTGTGGAGGTGCTTCTCAATCGGCCAAGTCGTTGCCGACACGGCGGCCCCACCTCGTGCCTGCCTGCGCAGCCCCTGCGGCGGCCCAGGTCCCGGCCCCTCGTCCTCTCCCAAATTTGATCCACTCGGCGTGTCCAGCGATCCCAGGCCCGATTGCGCGCCCCATCCCCCCAATGCCCGCAACCCCCGCAGCCGGCCACGCCGGGTACGAGCTGTCCCCCTTCATCCCCACGATTGAGGGCCTCGTGTCGGTGCTGGTGGCGGGGCCGCGGGGCTGGTGGGGCATGAACACTGTGCAGCACCATGACATGCACCACCGCTTCCCCTCGAGACATTTCAGGTGCGTGCATGTTTGTGTGTCGTGTCTCTGTGTGTTTGTGTTCGTGCGTGGGGGGATGTGCAGACGCATTTGTGCGTGTGCGCACACGCACGCACACTTGCATGTGATGTGTGTGTGTGAGAGAGAGAATGTGTGTGTGTGTGAGTGTGTGTATGTGTGTACACGCACGGCGCGCGCGCTGTCGCACGCCCTCAAAGCGTGTTGCATGCACGTGCATGCGCATTTGCGCGTGCACATCAGGGGTGTGGCAGTGCGCGAGCCTGTGATGCTGTATGGGACGGCCGCTGTTTATCCGGAAAAAAAATCCACGCCATGCGCGTCCAGGCGTTGACCTCTAAAACGCACATATCCTGCGCCTCTCCGGGCTTTGACAAAATCAAAGTGCCGCCCCTTGCGCTCAAACTCCCCAGCTCACTCAAACCTCCAAACCTGCCCTCCGCCCACCCTCGCACACCCCAGTCTCTACTTCACCCACTGGGACCGCCTGTGCGGCACAATGCACCCCTGCTACGACGCCCAGCTGTTCCGCTACTTCAAATGATCTGCCCGGGGGCATTCTGCACAGAAGTTCCATTGTTACCCGAAGATCTGGGGTCTTGAAGATCTAAGGCCGCCTTGGCCACACTAGCCTGTCGCTCTGCACAGCAAGCTGCAGCGATCCAAGGGTTGAGCTCGGCCAGACCCCGCATATCTCTCTTCCTCGCGGCGCGCTTTCAAGCCAAAGCGGCTGCGGTTTGACAGCCGCGGCATCCCACCGGAGGCTGCGCCGCGCCGGGCCCGAAAGCCCGTGCACCGCAGCGGCGGCCGCGCCGCCACTGCAGGGCCCTGGTCGCCATGCAGCGCGTTGATGCTGGGTTGGCCCTGTCAGCGTCGCCCGCGCCGGTGCGCAGGCGCCCTGCCGGCGTGATTTCTTGGTCCACGCGCCCCCTTTTTGTGAAGAGAGTGCACGTTTTTTGCGTCACAAATTGGTCGTTTGTTCGAGCAGGATGGGCTTTTTACAAGCGCTGTACAGGGGCAGACGCGGCGCTGCGGAAGCCGCGACCGCAAATCTCAAGGATCCCGCATGGTGCAGCTGCCCCGCAGGTGTACACGTGCCCGTATCTTCTCCTACACGCTGCATTCGTCGGCCGCTCTATTAGCGGCTTGCCCGTTTTGTGGCCATCTGAACGGGACGGTCCTTGTGACACACAAAGTAATTTCACACGTCGAAAGGGCTTCGCCGGGACCTGTGGCTATGAAAGGCATGTACAAAGCCGTGCGAGAGACTATCTGCCAGGCGGTCGCACGGCTCGGGCGCCGCCAAGGCCGGCAGGTGTTATGTGCACAGTCGGTTGTGGTGACGTCAGCTGACGTCATCAGCAGAGGGGCGATGACGCGGGGAGGAGATGAGAGGGGAAGGGACACGCAGGTGACACAGCAGTGGCCAGGAGATGGGCAGGATAGCTTTATGGCATGTCGCCATCTTTGTTATGTGCAGCCAACAAGCAAGTCTGCAGTGAGTGGTGCGGAAGGGCAGAGCCACAGAGTGAGGGTGCATTGCTTGGGGCCGACGCCATCCCACGCGCGAGCGGCGCTGGGCAGCGCGCATACGCCCTTTCCAAAAGCACGCAGCGCGCAACACATGTACAGAGCCTGTTGATTGTAAGTGCGTCACACTGTGTCATAGAGGTGACACAGCGCAGGAGTAGTGGGACCGATTACGTGTGGGATAGAATCTCGGTCTGTGCAGTGAGCCTGAGCCGGTAAGTTCCCGGATATAACCTGTCTGGCCGATGCAGAAGCGCAGCACCCATACTGCGGTGCAGTATGTATGACAGCGCATCAGCGCAGTGCGGCCCCGCTGACCCCGCAGCAAGGAATGTACATCCGCGGGTCGCACGGTTCAAAACCTCGGAAGCCGCCGCTGCGGCCGCCGTCGCGGCCGCCGCCGCGGCTAATCAAAACTTGGGGCAAACATTGAAAGCTGCCGCTGTCGCCGCCAAAAAGTACCAAGCGGGGCGCGCTGCAGCCTGCCGCTCCTCGACGGCCTGTTAGCGCGCCGCCCAGGTCAACGATCTTGACCATCAGTCCCCACTTGGAGTGACGGCGCGTTCAGTCGCCGCCCTCCCACAGCCGTCCGTCGGCCGCCTGACGCATCCACAGCTCCACTGCAGGCACGTCCCCCTGGGCGCAGGCGCGCCTGAGGTCTCGGTACTTAGTCAGCACTCGCAGCCTCCCGTTCCTACTAGAAGCGGATGCGGCGCTACCAGTAGCAGCGCCGGCACCTTGTTGCAGTCCCGCGGCCCGGAGCATGGCGCCGAGCGCGGCGCCCCAGCGCGCCGCGGGCAGCTTGATCGCGTCGGCGGCGTGGCGCGCCTCAGCCGCCGCCATCGCGGCGGCGCACGCGAGCGCGGCCTCGCCGTCGGCCACAGGCGGGATGGGGACATTGCGCAGCGCCAGCCGCTGCAGCGGATTCGAGGCGGCTGGGGCCCGCAGTCTGGCACCAGCCGCCGGGGGCGTGGGAATAGGCGCAGGCGCCGTCGTCGGGGCCGACGGGGGCGCAAGGCCCTGGGCCGCCGGCGCACTCGCGGCGCGCGGCGCCGGGGATGGCGCGGCGGCGGCTTCTGGCGCGGGCGATGGCGCCTCTTGGAGGGCGTCGTCGCCGACATCAATTGATGCCCCGCCGCGCGCCTGCCGCCCGCCGGCCCCGCTTGCGGCGGCCGGCACTAGCAGCCCTGCGGGCGGCGCCGCCGCCGGCGCCGCTCCCGGCGCAGCGACTGCAGGCAGCTGCCCGTCGACGAGGGGTGCAGCTCCCGCCGCCGGCGCCACCATCGCCGCCGCCGTCCCACCGGCGCTGCTTGGATCCCGGGGGCCCGCGGCTGCGTCTTTGCACCCAGACACGTCCGCCCCTGCGGCGTCGGCCAGGGCAATGTCGCCGCCGCCACAAACGCGATCAGGCTGGCGGCCCACGCCACTCGGGCCCGTGCTGGTATCCGGCTCTGGCGGGTCGCAGCCCCTGTGGCCCTCGCCCCCGCCCACACCATGAGACCGCGCCTCGGGGCTGCCGACCGAGCCATGCCCCCACCTGTCTGCAGTGCTCTCGTCGCTGTGCCCCAGCGGCTGCACGCAACCAAGCGTCGGGGTGCCGAACGCGAGCGGATCTGGGGAGGTCTGCTCGCCAGGCAGCCAGCGCTCCGGCCCAAAGCCACACCCACCCTCGCCGCGGCCGCTGCCCTCATCCCCGCCCTCGTAGCCGCCACACCTGCCGGCGCCGGCGCCGGCGCCGGCCGGGCTGCCCTCCTCGCCGTCGCTGCCTATGGCGGCGTCGAAGCAGCCGGGCGCGGCAGCCATCATCAGCTCTGCCAAACCCTCATCACCAATTGCTGTGGTCATGATCGCGTCGCCCTCCTCCCGACCCCGCTCATCTTCCCAATCCATTTCTTCCGCCGCCGTCGCGACCGCGGCTCCCGCTCCCCCTTGCCCTGGCGTGGCCGCAGCCGCCGCCGAGGGCGACGGCGGCGGCGCTGCTTGTGCCCCCGCTGCTGGTAGCACCCCCTCCAGCAAGCCTGCCCCCGGATTGACTGCAGGTGCCCTTAGCGCTGGCTCCTCGCCGGCTGCTGCACGTGCCTCAGCCGTCGCAGGCCGGCCTGAGTCCCTTCCGTTGTCCTCCACTGGCGGCGACGATGCGGCAGCTGCAAGCAAGACGGCAGCGACGGCGGCGCGTGTGGGTTGAGCGCTGTCTGCCTGTGCCGGCTCCTCTGCCGGAGCCTGCGCAAACGCCGAGGTCGCCGGCGCAGCAGCGGCGGCAGCGGCAGAAACGGCGGCACCGGCAGCGGCGCGGGCCCCGTCTCGCGCCCCCGAGGCCTGCTCCGGCGCCTGCACCAACTCTCCCGCGCCTGGCGTTGACGCAGGCGCAGCGCCGCCGAAGGTCGCGGCCTGCGCGCCGGCCGACCCATCCGCGGCCCCTGCTGCCGCTGCGATTCCGCCGTCCGCGGCCGCCGCCGGCGCCTTGGCCGCGCCTTCGGAGGCAGGCGCCGCCGCCGCCTCGCCCGCTGGGACGCTGCCCCCGGTCCCACCCGAACCTGCAAAAAACTCAACGGCCGTCGGGCCCGGCGCCGGTCCCGCTGCTGGCCCAGCCGGTGCAAGGGATGCAGCTGAGAAAGGCGTGTCAATCGGAGCCCCAGGCGCCGTTGCCGCCGTCGCTCCCGCCGCAGCGGGCGCCGCTGCCGCTGCCACTGCGGGTGCCCCTGCCGCTGCCGCTGCCGCTGCGGGCGCTGCCGTCGCAGCACCGTGCGGGCCTGCTGGTAGCGACGCCTCGGCCGACGCTGGCGCCTTCGTTGGCGTGCACGTCAGCGCCCCGGCAACCTCTGCGGCTCCCAGAATTTCAGGCCCCTGCACGAAGCTCCTCTCCGCCGCGAGCGCCGCCGCAGCGCTCGCCAGCACCTGCAAGGCGTCCGCCGCGCCGCTGGCCTCGGGCCCAGCCGGCGGTGTCGAGTCTGGCCATGCGCTGGCCGGCCGCTGTTGCCGCCGCCGCCGCCGCTGCTGCTGCTGCTGCTGCTGCTGCTGCTGCTGCTGCTGCTGCTGCTGCTGCTGCTGCAGCTGTTGCAGCTGTTGCAGCTGCTGCTGCAGCTGTGGCTGCAGCTGTTGCACCTGCTGGCGCCGCGACCCCTGCCACTGTTGTTGCTGGTCTTGTGGCCAGCACTGAAGGCCCTGCCATGCAGCACACGCCGCACTGCTGGCACCCAGTGCTACGCCGCCGCCCCAGAACGGCAGCGGCGCCGCCAGACGCCCTTGCGAGGGCTGCCCAGGGAGTGATGTCCCCATGCCACCGGTGATGCTGAAGGGGCACGCAGCGCCGCCGGCGCCGCTGCCAGATTCCTGGAGGCAAGGGGGGACCAGGAGCATTGGGCGGCTGGCAGGCATTTCGTGTCTTCGCACGCCAGTGTGACCGGGGCATGCAAACAACAGGGGCACACCAGTGCAACGGGGGCGCGCGGTGCGACGGCTGTCGCCCGCAGTCATGCGGCCCTCTCGCATAGCGGTACGCACGCCTGGCAGGACCTCGCCTGCGGGGTGCAACCCTAAACGCCACGCTGCCCCCAAAGGTTGCAACGAGCCGTTTTGCGCCCAACAACAGCAAAGGGTCGATTGTGCAAGCCCGCCTCAGGCTAAGCCGCCCCAAATCAAACTTGAAAACCATACCGCCTTGCCCAATCTCAAGTTTCCCTCAGTTTCAGCCCCACCGCACGTCCCCTAAAAGAACCCTGTGTGATGGCCACCGCCCCACCTGGTGTGCACCTGCACCGCCCTGCAACGCAAGCTCGGTGCCTGGAAGCCCGCCTGGCTGAGCTGCGCAGGGCCAAGCGACACGGCTGGGGTTGTATGCCAACCCCTGCAGGTGCAACTCCAGCTGCTGCTGCTGCTGCTGCTGCTGGTGCTGGTGCCACTCCAGCTGCTGGTGCTGCTGCTGCTGCCGCTGGTGCTGGTGCTGCCGCTGCTGCTCCTGCTGCTCCTGCTGCTGCTGCTGCTGCTCCTGCTGCTGCTGCTGCTGCTGCTGCTGCTGCTGCTGCTGCGCCTGCTCCTGCTGCTGCTGCTGCTGCTGCCAGCCCCGCCCTTCCGCTGGCGCCAGCCCTTGCAGCCACCGCCGCCGCTTTGGTGCAGGTTGCCGCACCTCCTCCGCCTCCTCATGGCCCTCATGAACATCACCCTTCTCCCCTGCTACCTGGATCTGGGGTCCGCTCGGCCCAAGCAGCGGCGCCTCGCCAAACGGAGATATGCTCATATGCCTGACATCAGCAGCCGCCCCGCAAACCTTGAAAGCTGCCGCTCCCCGCGACCCCACGGCGCCCGCTCCCGCCACGCCGCCGGGTGCCACCGATGCCCCCGCGCCCTCCCGCGCCTCCCGCGCGCCCTTGGGTGCAGGCACGGGCGCGGGCGCCCGCCCACGCCTGGCCGGCGGGGCCCTGGCGGCAGCGCACGGCGCGGGGCCGGCGTCCGTGCACATGTCGCGGAAGCGTGCCGGGGGCTGCCGCGGCCGCTTTCCCTGGGGTGACGCGGCGGCGCTGCCCCCAGCCGCCGCCGCCGCCAGCGCGGCTATGGCTGCCATGCGGCAATTGTTATCGAAGCTCGGGGCCAGCTGCCGAGCCTCTTCAAGCGTGAAATTGAACGGCCGCGCCTCGCCGAAGAGCAGCAGCGCGGCGACGTCGTAGGCGCGGGCGCCCTCTACCTTGTCATTGAACCTGGGGCGCACCACGGGCGGAGGCGGCGCACGGGTTCAAGTCCAGACGCGGCCGCTGAAAATCGTGCGCGCGCACAGAACAAGGGCAGCCGGCGGGCGCGGGATGGCAGCTTGCGAGGTGGCGCCTCTGCCGGCCCTCCTTTATCCCGGAGGCCCCAAAGCCATTCCCTCCGCGCCCGCGCCGCACGGGCCCACAAACTGGGGCGCAGCGCAGAGTCCTCCGCCCCGCCTCCTTCTCCCCCGCGGGACCGCCGCCTGCGCACCTGCCAACATAGCAGTTTTTGCCTTTGTAGCAGATGCACACCTTCCAGCAGCCCTCGTTTCGGAGCCAACAAACCCCCTTGTACTTTGACAACTTGGGCCTGTACGCCTTCCGATGCCTGAGAGCCTGCTGCTCCGGCCGTTGCTGCTGCTGTGCCTGCAGCTGCTCCTGCTGCTGCTGCTGCTGCTGCTGCTGCTGCTGCTGCTGCTGCTGCTCCTCCTGCTGCTGCTGCTGCTCCTGCTGCTCCTGCTGCCGCCCGCCCTGCCCCTCTGATGTCGCCGGTCCCGGCAGCCGCCGCTGCCGCTTGTACGCCAGACGCTCTTCCGGCCACCACTGCTGCCACTGCTGCTGCTGCTGCTGCTGCTGCTGCCGGCTCTGCCTTTCCGCTGGCGACAGCTCCTGCAACCGTCGCTGCCGCTTTGACGCAGGACGCCGCACCTCCTCCTCCTCCTCCTCCTCCTCAAGCCCCTCACAATCGTCACTGTCCCTGGCCGCCGCCCGGCTCCCGGGTCCGCTCGGCGCAAGCAGCGGCGCCTCGCCAAACGCAGATCTGATCATTCGTCTGACGTCATCAACCGCCCCGCAAGCCTCGAAAGCTGCCGGCCCCCACACCACCGCGGAGCCCGCCCCCGCCGCCCCGCCAGGTACCGCCGCCACCACCCTCGCACCCTCTTGCGCTGCTTGCTTGGGCGCGGACGCGGGCGCCGCCCCTGGGCTGGCCGGCGGGGTCCTGGGGGAGATGCGCCGTGCGGGGCCGGCGTGCGTGCACACGTCGCGGAAGCTTGTCGGGGGCTGCCGCAGCCGCTTTCCCTGGGGTGACGCGGCGGCGCCACCCCCACCAGCCGTTACCGCCGCCGCTGCCGGGCGCTTTTTGGACGGCGCCGGCCGAGGCGGCGGCGGCGGCGGCGCGGCGACCGGCGCGGTGAGGGGCGGTCGCTTGTGATTGCCCTGCTGCCCCAGCGCGGCTATGGCTTTCATGTTGGGGTTGTCATCGGCGGCGGAATGACCCCTCTGATACTTCTCACT